AAAAAAAAAGAAAAGAGGCTGGTAGCTTGACTAAAATGAAGTGCTGCAAACACCACTCTTCATTTACAGCAACAATAATTAGGGACTGGCCACATTATCACCTCTGCTGGCATGAGGTGATCGATTAGCGAGCATTAAAATTCCCACAGGGGCATTCGAGGGCCAGCAAGTCAGTCAGCCAGGCACAAGAAGCCGGCCAGCAAGGCTTTGAAAACACCTCACAGCCGCTCACTGTCCTCTCTGTGGATCCACAGCTGACGTCAGTGCTGGCTACTGTACTAAGGCAACAATACACTATACAACACAATACGCTGGGATGAATGGCCGGTGGAGACAGGGGAGAGAGAGAGATGGAGAGATACAAGGAGAGGCAGAGAAAGAGCAGATAAAACCACAGAAGAGAGAGCTGATAAGAGAAAAGAGCAGAGAGAAACCAAAGGGAGGGAAAAGGAATTAAGCAAGCTAGGGAAAAAAAGATAGAGATGTACAAAAAATTTTTTTTAAAAAAGCAGTGGGGATGTAGCTGAGATTTGAAGCCTCCAGAGGGACAGAGGCAGAGGACAATGTGGTGACAATGGGATGAATGGAGAAGAACAGGACAGGCTGGCAGACGGCTGTGATCCTGCATGGAGCGAGTGAGGGGCAGGAAGCCAGCAGTCAGTGAAGGAGCAGGCAAACGGAGGTGTGTGAGCGCGTATGTGAATGTGTGTGTATGTGTGTGTGTCAGGCAGTCAGCCACCCATTTACAGAGGAGGCTAAGCCTGAGTTGTTCAACCACAGAGACAGGACTTCTGCTGTCAGAAAGAGGAAGAGAGAGGAGAGACACGTGTGCCTTCCTCTGTGTGAAACGTGTGTGTTTGTGCAAAATAGAGATGTATGTACGCGAGCATATGTTTGTGTGTGTGTCGATGGGAGAGAAGTCAGGTATTACTCAGGTTGTAGGGATGCTGTCACATTATGGGAGGCATCCCTCTAATGAGGACAAAAAGCAAGTCCCATGAAAAAACTCTCATTTGTATCCAAAGGCTGGCATAAGCTTAGGTTTAGACTCCCCCCTACCTCATCCATCAACTGGGCAGACTAATAAGGAAACTAAAGGCAATGCACTGGCTGCCGCATGTCATCTGCAAATCTCCATTCCTATATGATCCACTGAAGTTAATGTAATGTATTCTGGGCATACGACTGTGCGTGTGAGCACCTCTATTAATACATATGTGTGTGATTTTCTGCCTCTAACGTTGCCTCAGTGTGCCTGCGTGTCTGCAGTTGAGTAGATTTAGCCTCATAAAGGCTCTGTACTAGGTATGCACGTGTGTGTGTGTATTCTGTGGTTGATAGGTCTTGGTCTGCCAGAGTTGCCTGCTCTGCCCCAGAGCCTCCAAATGAGTGCACTCACACACTCCTGGAGCAGTTATTTGACTTGGAGAGGAGGGAGAGTCAATAACTCAGGTATTTCAATTACACACACAGGGGCACATCAGTGACTGCAAAAGAAATAGACCCACTTCCAATCTTTCTCTGGAATATGCACACACACATACAAAAATACACACACATAATTCGCTTTAAACACACATATAAACACATTTAGGCAGGCACAAAATCTCTTGTTAGCATACACACATACACAGCAGCAGCAGCGGCAATCGAAACCCATCCTCCAAGTGAGGATTCCAACACAAAAAGACAAATCAACACCGCAATCACAGAATAATACCAGGGTGCTGCTTTAGACACACACAGGCACTCACGCACACTCCACACAAATAATGACATAGTAAAACAACATGAGGCGCACCGTTAAACAGGAAAGTGCATCACAGCGTGATCACATAAAGCACATACTAAATGGGAACACAGGGGTCAAGAGCAGGCATTTTTGGCTTACATTAGCTGCATTTTGCTTTCTGTAGCTACATGTTTACGTGCAGCTACAGATGTAATGCTCACGCTCCTTTATGTTTTACTGCAACTGAAAACCAACATAGCGCCATTTGCGTAAAAATAAATCATGGCTGTCGGAGGATACGTGTCAGCTGAGGTTTTAGTGGGAAGCAATTTGGACTAATGGAGTGAACTAATATAGTTCCAAGGTAAGGTGTGCCAGTCCATTTGTCACCTGATCTACTGTGAACATTTTATTTATTTTTGGTTTAGTTTGTGCTGATGTAATGTGGCTCTGAAGATGTTTTTGTGTAATTCAATTGTAATTAACGAACTATTTGTTTATCATTTCAAGCAGGCTTGGAATATATTGGAAATAAATCTTCTTGCTTTGCTATGTTATCCCGGCACGGCCCTGTAAATGCATGATTCACCATTTAAAAAGGAAAGCTTAACTTGTTTTGTAACTGCAAGCTTTCTGGGTAACTGTATCCTCATAATTATCACATCACAGCATACCATCCTGGAAGCAGTTAGTATTTCCTGGCAAAGACCTTCCTTCCTTTTGGCTAAGCTAAGCTAAGCTAGCCATAGTAGCTAGTTTAGCTTAGCTTAGCCAAGCAGATATTTCAATACTAGCCAAGTTAGTATTGAAATATCAGCAATAAAAAAGACATAGTTTAACTTTGTTTAACTTTAACAAGATCGAGAGTTAATATTTTGTATGATGAACTTTATTCTTCAGTAGTCTGATCTCTCTTAGGCAGCTTCTTGTTATGTCTTTAAGTAGTCTTCAGGAATAGTTCTCCAGGCTTTCTTTTTTTTTTTTTTTTATAACTTTTTATTTATCATTTTACAGTATGGGAATACAAAACTTAAGGTCAGCATGGGAGACATTCACAGTTCCAGTAATAGCATCTACTTACATCATGGTAATATTCATTTATTCAGTGCAAAGGGGAGTACACAACCCATTTTTCCCAGAGCTTCTTAAATTTCTCGAGCTCGAGTCTAAGGACAAAGGTAAGCCTTTCCATTCCAAAAATTTCTTCTCCAGGCTTTCTGAAGGACATTTAAAGCTCTTCTTTGGATGTTACTGCCTTTTATTCTGTTCTCTGTCAGGATGGTCCCCCACTGCTTCAATAATGTTGATGTCTGGGCCAATCCATGTGTGTTTTTCTATCCAGGTATATTTTTCCGACAAGGCAGTGTGCTAAAAATGAAGGGGAGTCACTTTTTTAGCTCAGTCTTGACCTCTTCTGAACAAATTGATGATGATTTGAACCAAAAATATCAAATCTGGATTCATCACTCCATAAAGTTGTTCCCACTGATTTTCAGCCCAGTTCTTGTGTAATCTAGCATGACACAGCCTTTTCCCTGTTTCCCTTCCTTAATAATGGCTTCTTGACAGCCTCCCTTCCATTGAGACTTCTTTCTAATGAGGCTTCAG